CAGATGAATTTTAGGAATGCTTTCTCTAGATCTGTGAGGTATACTAATGGTATTTTAATTGGGATTGCATTGAATCTGTACAACAATTTTGGGAGTATGGTCATTTTCACAGTATCAGTTCTTCCTATCCATGAGCAAGGAATATCTTTCCATTTACTGAAATCTTCTTTAACCACTTTTTCCAGAGTACTGTAATTTTCACTGTCTAGACCTTTTACTTCCTTTGTGAGATTGATTCATTCTTAAGTATTTCAACTTTTTGGATATTACTGTGAAAAGTGTGGTTTCCTTTATTTCTCTCAGTCTGTTTTCTGTTCATGTATAAGAATGCTATTGAATTTTGAGTGCTTACTTTGTTTCCAGTTACACTACTGGATTTGTTTGTTAATTTGGGGGGTCTTTTGGTAGAGTTTTGGGGGTCTTCCATGAAGAGCATCATGCCATTTGTCATTAATAATAATTTTACTTCTTCCTTTACTGTCCTTATTCCTTTTCTTTCTGTGTTTTGTCTCATTGCTCTGGCTAATGTTCCCAGAAGTATGTTGAATAAGAATGCTGACAGTGGACATCCTTGACTTGTTCCTGATTTTAAAGGGAAAGCTTTCAGTTTTTGTCCATCTAGTACAATGTTGGCTGCTGGTTTGTTATGGATGACTTTCACTAGGTTGAAATAAATCTATGTATTCTAATTTTCTATAGGGATTTAATCATGAATAAGTTTTGAACTTTATCAGAAGCTTTTACTGCATCTATTGAGGTTGACATGTGATTTTTATCTTTGGCTCTGTTGCTATGTATGACCAGCCCAGTTCCCATGCCAGTGGGGGAGTGGTGATGGCGCAGTCACTGAGGCTGCTGCAGCTCTCTGGTGCTCAGCTCGGCTCCCGTGAGGATCTAGGTGGATAATCTTATTCCTAGAGGGATATTCATGCGTGTCTGTCTCTTCAATTCTTTTTTGTTTTCCTACCTAGGTGAATATTTGCTCTATGACATAGAAACTCCAAAGTACTATTAAGTAATTCTGATGTTAACCAAGAAATATTGTTTTGACTACATTTTCAATGAAAAAGTAGTCTTTAAGAAGCTTCATTCCACACCTTTGAAGGGAGCGTGCACAGTGTCAACAGCATGTTCAAGTTTCTTAACAGAAATCTCTCAGGGTGTAAAGGGTGGAGCAATTGTCTGTGCCATGAATCCCTGCAAGGAGGGGGAACTTGTATGCTGACATTCACGCATTTTCATTGTGGCTCACTGCTTTATTCTTTAAACAACTTCAAAGTTTTGACTTGAAAGATTTTCCATTTTATCTTTAATTCTGCCTTTAGTGATCAAATACAATAATGTATTCATACATGCAATATGTGCTGCTACATATTTATATTACCTAGTAGCTAAATCAAGTGGATTAATGTATCCATCACACCAGTGTTTCTTCACATGCATGAGGTGGAGAGTAATTCATTGGGGATACATTTAAATAATAGCATTTAGGAAATATTTTTTCCTGAAATAAAGCATTTCAATAGAAATTGATACTTGTTAGTACTGAATACAATATGTATTTCAATAAAGACATTATTTTTCTCCTTGCAAACTGTGAGGATTGTTAAAATATCACTTTTTATAAAGACCTACACAGTGTAATTCTACACACAATCTTATTCTGAATGTATGTAGCTAGGTCACGTTAACTGTATCACAAATAGATTGATGAAGTAACTCTCCCAGGAATCTTGTAAGGCCACTAAGCACCATCATTCATCTAATTCCAATGATGTTCCAAAAAGTCAGTCTCTTAACATCATAATAGCCATACTTTGGTTCTAATTATATGAGTGTGTGGAAAGAACACACGCATTCAATTCATAAATGGTACTGGAGTGCAGTGAAAGGTGATCATTGAGTCTTTTCCCTAAGGATGTCTGTGCTCTCTCTGCAGCTTTACACCCAGCATCTACCAGAACTACCTGGCCTTCACTTTTGCCATAGAGGAGATCAACAGGAATCCTCATCTTCTACCCAACACTTCTCTGGGCTATGAGTTCCATACTTTCCTTTACAGTCATTGGAGGATACTAGAAAGTTCCTTTATTTTGCTCATGGGACAACACGAGATCCCTAATTACACATGTGGGAGAGAAAGCAAGTGTGCAGCAGTACTAACAGAAATGTCATGGGGCACCTCGGCTCAGATTGGACCACTGCTGGAACTCTACAGATTTCCCCAGGTGAGGGTTGGTGGGACAGGAAATGGTGGGAACACACCCATGGGGCTTCAACTACCAGGAGCATAAAAGGTTACAAATCAGCGTGGGATTAGCATTTTCCAAGGTTTATATTACACCAGCATCTGAACATAGAGTGAATGGGTTACACACAATTTCTTTTCTTTTCTTTTTTTTTAATCAAAGAGGAAGGAAAGAAATATGTTTCCAGAATGTCTGAGTACATTCATTCCCTTGTTACAAAAAATCTCCTGAGGGAGATGTTTAGAAGGATGGGATGAACATGT